CTCTCTCTCTCTCTCTCTCTCTCTCTCTCTCTCTCTGTGTGTGTGTGTGTGTGTGTGTGTGTGTGTGTGTGTGTGTGTGTGTGTCTGTCTGTCTGCCTCTCTCTCTGCCAGAGCGAACACACATGTACAGCTCTCTCTCTCCGCCTCTCTCCCTCTCTCCCTCTCTGCCCACTTCTCTCTCTCTCTCTCTCTCTCTCTCTCTCTCTCTCTCTCTCTCTCTCTCTCTCTCTGTGTCTCTCTCTTTCTCTCCTTTCCCATCTCTCTCTCTGTTCTCCCATCTCCCTAACACATCTCCCTCCGATTCAAAAGATGGTATTAGTCTCTCTCCCCGCGGTCCCGTGGCCCTCCCCCCTCGCTTTCTCTTTTCACACCGAACGTACGAACGTACATGTAGCTGTTCATAAGCAAATCGCAAGTTCAAATCCTGTTCGATCGAACAATGTCATGCCCTAAAGCCCTCCCCCCCCCTTCCCCTTTTTTTTTTTTTTTTTATACAGAAAACAAACCTCACAATTTGCACCATCTTGTAGCTTTTCAAACCGTTTGCCGATTGTGCATGCCTAGCAGCAGGCAACACAGCAGAAAGGTAAGAAGGCAGTGAGGCAGCGAGGCAGTGAGGAAGCGAGGCAACGAGGCATCGAAGCCAAAAAGCTGCAAGGCAGCACGGCAGCCAAGGCAAGGCAAGGCAGCATGGACAAGGCATCCAAATGACAAGGCTTGCAGCAGTGCGACGCAATGAGCAGCGCTGAGCAGAGCAGGAAGGCAAGAACGTCCGCGACGCCACAAAGCGGCAAAGGACAAGGCAAGCAAGTAACAGGGCGGCGCGATGAGCAGCAGGCAGCAGGCAGCACAGCAGCAGGGCAGCGAAGCGGCAAGGCAGCAAAGCGGCAAGGCAGCACGGCAGTGAGGTAGTGAGGTAGTGAGGGAGTGAGGGAGTGAGGGAGTGAGGGAATGAGGGAGTGAGGCACAAGGCAGTATCGACAAGGAGGTAGTGAGGGAGGGAGGGAGGGATGCACAAGGCAGTATCGACAAGGAGGTAGTGAGGGAGTGAGGGAGTGAGGCACAAGGCAGTATCGACAAGGCAAACATGCGAGCAGCTCGGGAAGACAAGGCAAAGGATGGGTAAGTGAGGGAGTGAGGGAGTGAGGGAGTGAGGAGTGAGGGAGTGAGAGAGGAGGCACAAGGCAGTATCGACAAGGCAAACATGCGAGCAGCTCGGGAAGACAAGGCAAAGGATGTGCGTCTAGGAAGTGAGAGCGCAGCTCAGACAAGGCAGTCCACGCATCCAACACGGACCGAAGCAGCTCATCCCGGACTCGCACAAAAATTTTAGAACTCTGCGGACTGTAGGTTTCACACCACCATCGGAGCTAGGTGGTCTCTTCGATGAAAGTCAGTTATCACCCAGGAACATAGACACACGGGTATTCCAGATGCAGCAACAGTCACTCCCTACACAGAGAGGCATCGACTGTTTGGCACATCTTGGAGGTGCTCACTTAGACGCACAGGAGAGGCATGGGAAAGACCAGAGAAAGCACAAAATGGGCGACAGAAAGGAAAAACTTGAAAGAGAAGAAGAAAAGAAGAAAAGGAAAGAAAAGAAATGGAAAATAAAGACTGTGTGTGTGTGTGTGTGTGTGTGTGAGAGAGAGAGAGAGAGAGAGAGAGAGAGAGAGAGAGAGAGAGAGAGAGAGAGAGAGAGAGAGAGA